GGCGGTGGCGGTCGACAATGGTGGACGCCAGTTGGCGGCGGACGACAATGGTTGTGGTTGATGACAGTTGGTGGTGTTCGACGATGGTTGGCGATGGTCGACGTTGGTTGGCGGCGATGCTGAGCTGCAGCTATTCCTCAAGGCCACAAGCTCTCTCTAAGCTTTGACCCCTTCTTATGTGAGGGGTGGGACTCTATTTATAGTGTTATGGGTGTAATTAATGCAGGAATATGATCCATTTTGATCGGACGGTTCAGAGAGCTTCCCTTAATCATACAACATTTAATGGACATTTGGATGCCTTAATGATGTCAGAATTTAGTGATCGAGGGCGCCATCCCTGAGAGCCAAGAACTTAGCCATAGACTTCAAGCATGCCCCATATATCTGCCCTAATCCCTAATCCAAGGACCTCTATCATCCCTCCCTACACCAGCTTGCCCTGGATTGCCTAAGTAGGACCCATCCCTCCTGCCAATTTGGTAATAAGGTTGCTGGAATTAGAACTCTGGAACACTTTTTATCATTATTTGAATGTTTATTATTTAAAATATCATCTCAGGATCCGTATCATGCCTCAGATTCATGCAAAATGATGAAAAAAATTTATTTGTGACGTATCACTTATCAAACAATCTATCTTAATTTACTCAATTATAAATTATTTATTTGGTATTAAAATATTTTTTTGATATCAAAATTGAGTTTTCATTGACTCGACGGTTGTTTGCTCAGCCGCATTAAGAGTGCACTACATTCCTAATGCAAGCATTTTAGAAATTCAACAGTTTAATTAGAAAAAAAATAGAAATTCAATATAAAATACTTTTCTATTTGATATTCAGTGATTAGTTGATTTTCTCTGAATTTTGAATTTGCTCACTTTGGCAGCATTACAAAAACATAGATTAATATAAAGTGCCGGCAACCGCCCCGCAGGTCGCTATGTGCAACAGCAGCCATAAAATCATTTGACCACTTAAACAATATCTTAAAAATTTAGTGTTGATTGGCATTGTTAAGTGCACTCGTTGAAAGTTTTTCTTACTACAAATGTGTAACTATCAACAGCTGCTAGCTTTGTCTCTCCTCCCGTGTCCGCTTCCGGGTATTCTTCTTTTGTGTCTTCTGAGAGTAGGTACCCTTACCCTCCTTTTCAGTCCGCGTAGTGGGATGATTGGTCAAAGTTAATACCTTATTATACAATCAAAAGAGAGAAATGAAAACCGAGTGAAAGGTACCTCTTGAGTGATTCTCACTTTTAGGGGTACCTGTACTTTTTGGGCGTAAAAAGGGCAATGAAGAGGGTTTCACCTTTCTAATCGATCTTGGCTTTCTTTATCGGCAAAAAAGGTCTGGCTCGAGTCGGTTCCTTGTTTGTTTTCGGGATCGGCTCATCAAAGAAAAGGTGAGTGAAACTGGAACGGAAAGAGCAAGCGAAACAGGAAAACAGTCACTAGGTTTGTTAGGCTATTTTAGAGTTTGTGTTGTAGCTTTATTTATGATAAAACTGGGTGGGTGTGGCTCTTACACTTTCTCAAAAAAAAAATAATTAATAAATTTTTAATTTAAATATTTGTTACTTTAATAAAATGTGAATTATTTGAAATTTGCCCACTAATAATTTATATTTTTGCCAACTTCTCACTAAAAAATGGACACTTAACTCTTTATCTATTTATATATTTAACTTTTTTTACTACACCCCTATATGTAAGTGTAACTAGAGCGAGGAGAGAAACCAACCTCACGCCAATTCTCGAGAAATTCCTTTAGCCTTTTGTAACGATTTGTTACTTTAATAAAATGTGAATTATTTGAAATTTGCCCACTAATAATTTATATTTTTGCCAACTTCTCACTAAAAAATGGACACTTAACTCTTTATCTATTTATATATTTAACTTTTTTTACATTTTTGTCATTTTAAATTTTTTCAATTATGATTTTAATGGATTTAGTAATATATTACACAAATTTTAACATAATATAAAAATATTATTAATATTATTTTCTTAATTAAAATATATTTTTTACTGCATATATTTTAATGTAATTTGAAATGAAACTGTTACTTAAATAAATATTAAAATTTAGATGTTTATATAGGACCAATTTTAAAATAATATTTTTAAAATATAATATTTAAAAATGACCAATTAAAATGTGCTCCGACGGCCAACACATGGCAAGGCCACGCATGCAATGATATCATTTACGTGTCCAAATTTTCACCCGCGGAAGCAACCACCCAGCTGCCGCCAACTCTCGTTACTTAATTCAAAACAACAGAGATAAAATTGACAGGAGGCCCTCACATTTTCTTACTGCAACAAAAGCCAAATCTAATTCAGACTTTCTCAGCCTCATCGCGGGTCTTAAAATTCATAAAAAAATTGTATTATCGTGTAGCACATATGATATAGTCGTCCGGTCACAAGGTAAACTCACATCCGAATTTACTACCCTGCCCCGGATGTTGCCAGAATCTAGGCTCCATACAATCACCAATTTTGACACGGACACCTCTACAGGTATAAATAATAAATATTATAAAATTTTCTTGGATCACGATTAAATTGCTGCCTTGGATCACGATTAATAAAAAAATATTAAAAATTGAATGAGAGTAAATATCATTTTAATATTTTATCAGAGACTGAAAGGAGAGGAGACAACCAACTCTTGGACTATCTAAAATGAAAAGAAAATGCGCGTTGCGTGCTCGATCTAGGTTTATTGGAAAATTTTTGATGAACTTTCACTAAAAAAAAGGAAGAAAAATAACTGAGAGTTGGCGCCTACATAACAGGTTGCTTGCTTACCAAGCCGTCCTGGCCCAGTTCTATTATGATTCTTTACTTTGATTATTATGAAGAAAACTACTCACTATCAAAATGAAAGACGATCTAGAATCTACCCAAGAAGATATAGAGTCCCACATACGAGAAAAGGTCACAAATAGAGTTGAACCAAGTAAGATTGCAAAGGCATAATGATAGTAGGGTCGGGATATGCCCGCCCTCCGAACCGGACGTATGAAATATTGAATGATAGAAATATGAGTATTAGATATTAGAATTGATTTTTAATTAGCATTTGATATTAAAATTGATTATTAATAAGCATTTGATAGACAGGAGATTATGGGTGGTCATTGGGGGCCACTAGACATTAAGTATCAATTGTTGATAAAAATCAAGAACCCCTTGTCGACGAATTGGGTCCCATTATCTGTAACGATTACGATGGGTAACTCATATTGGCAAATCAGGTCAATTCAGAAGAAGTTTTGGACTACAGTCGTTGTTATTTGTGTCAGGGGCTTCGCATTTACCCATTTGGAGAAATAATCGACGACCACTAACAAGAATTTTTGTTGTCCTCTCGATGGGAGAAAAGGTCAAAGGATGTCGAGCCCTCACATGGAGAACAACTAAGGGGTGACAATCGGGTGGGTAGAGGGCTGCCTGCGCCCAAAAGCAATTCTTCACTTGTCCCCTTGTCCATAGGGACCTCGTGGCATACAACCGCCACGACTCCTGCGTTATAGCCGTCCCTTTCTCTCTTTTGACTGCCTCGTGGACGGACGAAAGAAGGAAAGTCACATAACGGGGCAGTGAAGGCTCTAAAGTAGACAGCAAGCCCCCACCACCCCGTCAGTACTGTGTTGCCTACGCGCGCCCTACTGAAAGAAGGTAAAACCTCGCTAGGGGATGGAATTCATTCACTTGCATTCCTGATAGCACTACAAAAAGCTCCGGTCTTCACGCCATTAACCCCCTATTTATAGGAATGGATCCATATTCTACAAAATTACATATTAGTCTCCTCATCATTATACTTTTAAAGGGACCTTAGGGTAATTACAAAATTATCCACATATAAAAAGATTAGAGGACCGATTCAGTCGATAGGAAGTTTGTCGGTTGTTCACTGTACCTTGTGTTCGTCGACAGAGTCCAAAAAGAGATGATTCTTGTTGATAGTCCCGAGGGCCGATCACCGCCCTGCAAGAAATTCCCAGATATAGACCTCCGATCGCTACAACCAGATGTCCCCTTGCAGGCGGCCACGGTTCATAACGCACTCTTCGCACAACAAATCCACTTTGAAGTTGACTTATTCGCTCGGCCAATCGTCGGAATGTGTACGAGATACCATAAGGCCCCAATATCTCAATAGCACCTTTGTCTAAAGCTTGGAATGAGACTGAATATCCGAAACGCAGGAACGATCTGACTAGAAAGTCATTCAAAACTTGATCGAAGAACCAGCGTTTATTGAAGAAGGTATAGAGTCGATTACAAAAAGGACTAGTTTGAAAGGCTCGTTGGAATTGATCCGCTACGGGATTGACATTATACGCTATAGAAGCACCTGAAGTACTAAAAAGAATAGGTATGAGTTTTGTAATGGTTGGAGCAGCAAACTCGGATTCGGCAAGAATCTCATTTTTTGGTAGTACGAAGGGGGAATTGGCCCAAAAATTGGATGGGGTCAAGACGCTATCGGGCTAAGGCGGCTGAGTCAAGTGCCCCCCGAACCGCGCGAAATGGTCGCCTATTACACGGCTCACAAACTCTGCCTGGGGTGGGGGTACCTATTCTTCGTCGGCGGTACGGCGCTAAAGGGCCTCGGTTTGCTGCGTGGACTTCCTATGCATTTCCTACAGAGTGCAATGGAACCCAGCTCAGCTCCGCCGAGCCAAAAGGAAATAAAAGAACCGCCGCCGGAGGCGGACAGTGCTCCGAAGTGCACTGAGAGTTTTTTTTTTCTTTTCAGAACACTTGACCTGACCCCTTCTATTGAGCCATGTCTAGGTGGGCGCATTCATATCAATGGCAACGGTGTTGCTGCATCTGGTGCTGAGCTGGCTTGTAGTTTATAAGCTGGGGTTGGGACTATTGGGGGCGTCATTGGTACTGAGCATATCCTGGTGGATTGTGGTGGCGGCCCAGTTCTTTTACATCGCCACGAGCCGGAGATGCCGGCTCACTTGGACCGGGTTTAGTTGGCAGGCATTCAAGGGGTTGCCGGAGTTCTTCAAGCTGTCGACGGCGTCGGCGGTGATGCTGTGTTTGGAGACGTGGTATTTTCAGATACTGGTGCTAATAGCTGGGCTGCTTGAGAACCCGGAGCTCGCGCTCAATTCTCTTTCTATTTGGTAAGTAGGACTCTCAAAACGGGTCGTCGTTCGTGAACGGTTCATATTCAGTGCATTAAGACGCTTGAGTTTGATTCACTCGCAGACAAACTGAATGCAAACAATTTTTTTGTGGTAAATATACAAACGAACCGAATATGAACAAAAATTTATATGTTGCTTTCTTGATGAGTAGTATTTCTAAATAATTGAATTGTCTATAAGGTCACAAATATTTATAATCAATTAAAATCATTAATTAGAATAAAAATATATTAAATTATATTTAAATTCTGCTTAGCTTGCAGCGGCTTTGGAGTTAAACCGGTTTTGGTTTTTGTCTTTTTCTTTTATTTTTCTTGTTTGTTTGTGGTGGGTGGTTTGAAATTCGGATGGACCGGAGTTAGGTAGCTGCGATGGACGGAACGGGGATGGATGCCTTTTTCACAAAACCTGATGCGCATTCGGAATTAGGGGTGTAAATGAGCCAAACACGTGTTCGGCTCGTTTATATTTCGAGCTCAAAAATTCTGTTCGTGTTCGGCTCGTTTGCTTAACGAGCGAACACGAGCTGTTCACGTACAAAGAGTTGTTTTAACAGCCTTAATTATGTAACCATAAAATATTAAAGATTTAGGCATTTTTGTTTATATTAAAACATCATTTGAATCTAATTTAATAATTTTTATTTTATTTTCTAAATTAATACTTTTAATTGATTATAAATCTTTATAGCCTTGTAGTCAATTAATTTTCTTAAAAATACTACTCATCAAAGATTTATATATTTATATATATAATTGATTAGTAGTATTTCGAGCTAAAACGAGCCGAACATGAACGAATAAAGTTTTGTTTATGTTCGGCTCGTTAACTTAGCGAATGAGCCTAATACGGGCTTCTTAACGAGCCAAACACGAGCCGTTCGCGAAAAATGAGCCGTATTGACAGCCCCAGTTGTCCGCAAAAGCTCCCAAAAAGTTTATTTTTAAGTATTCTTCTAGAACAATTGGATATATGCCCTTGCTACTTTTGGTATACAATTAATTATGAATGGGAGCCCAATAGTAAATTTTAATTAATGATAGATTCAAGAACATGTCGCACGAGCCAAATCTCTAAAATTCAAGTAGAATGTGCTTATTTGAAAAATTCATGTTTTGATGATCTAAAAAAATTAATAATTAAAAAAAATTAATACACTGCTTTTTAAAGGTGCTGTGAGTAATGGATGGGAGATTGAATCGGTTGAACGAGATGATGTAATAAATATTAAAATTATTTTAATATAATATAGATACTATAATAATGATGTGGCAATATTATTTTTATCTATCTAATAAACAATGTTTTAATTTAAGGCTGTTGATTTTTGAATATTTTGAATGATATATTTTTTTTTTTTGAGACTTGTGGATCATATCCAACATGGCTTAGATGCAATCCATTTAGGTTAGAGAGATAAGCCTCTAATTATAGAGCTTCATTGTTCACATTTTTTAATAATATTCTAAATCAAATCATCTTTTGTCTTTGCCTAACGAGTGAATAAAAAAGAGTGGATGGATGTTTTGAACGAGTGTTTTTAGTGTGCCCCATCAGCTAGCAGAGAAGATCTAGCTATATGTATAAGTAAGCAACGATTCTTTTTCCAAGTGCATCAATCGAACCTTCCTTCGAATTGGCCAATTTTGAGTTGTTGTTCCACTCAGTTTTTGTTTTGTTCTCAATTAGAAAATAGAAAGATCATAAGGAGGAGAATCATATGGAACGCGAGGTTCTACCTTAGAATCCTCTTTCATCAAAAAGTTTTGAAAAAAAAGAATCATATACCAAATTGTTTTCAAGATTAGAAACCATACTCTCTGGTGAAGAAATTATCAATAAACAATCCTTTCATGACAAGGACAAACAGTTTTTGATGCATCTATAAATCTGTTGCCTTGTAGTAAAATTTTCAATTCAACGGTGTTTAATTTTTCACACAATAGCTCTTACCAAAATCATGTCATTTACTTTAGTGTGCGTGTGAGCAATGAACTTGGAGCGGGAAATCCAAAATCTGCAGCATTTTCAGTATTAGTGGTGACAATAATGTCCTTCATCATATCACTCATTATTGTGGTAATCATCCTTTGCTCTCGCGACTATATTAGCTATATATTCACCGAAGGTGAAACGGTGGCTAAAGCCGTCTCTGATCTCTGCCCTTTACTTGCCATCACCATCGTCCTCAATGGCATCCAACCAGTTCTATCAGGTAAACACTTGCTCTTCTCATGTGGCTTCTATCATGATTAAAGTTTTAATCATTATTTGATTTGTCTTTTGTTATGTGGTGTATTGTAGGTGTGGCTGTTGGGTGTGGATGGCAAGCCTTTGTTGCCTACGTTAATGTTGGCTGCTATTATATTGTTGGCATACCTGCTGGTGTTGTTCTTGGTTTCGATTTTGGCTTTGGCCTTGGAGCAAAGGTACATGAATAAATATGAAATTTTGTAAGATAATTATGTAATTTTTTTAGAGATAATTCTATGTTGAGGTGTAAAACTTTGCTTTTTTATGTTTTTTAGGCTGCTAATCACTAGAAACCTGCTGACAAAAAATGCCAAATTTATGATGTTTTAAAGTCTTAAATCATTGATGGAGTTTTGTGGACTAAATTACACCATATCATTCTAATGAATTTGTAGTGTGTATCAACATAGATACGTATGGAATTTTTTTTTTTATTTTTTTGGAAAAAAAGTAAATGATGACAAAATGATGTCTAAATAATAATTTGTGCAGGGAATTTGGTCAGGTATGATTAGCGGAACTTTCATGCAAACTCTCATTCTTCTTTGGGTCACTTTCCGAACCAATTGGAGTGAAGAGGTACTGCATTTTTTATTGTGGAAAAAGCTATTTGAAAATGTTGAACTGCTTGACGACGAAACCAAAAGAAAGAGACATGTTCTTTTTAGAATAAGCCAGCTGGAGGAAGGGTCGTAGTCATTATCAATGGTCGAAAGCCCCTTTCTACTCTACCTCTTCACTAAGAAAATCATCTTCCCGGTCCTGTATAAAAAAAAACATGAAATACAATGGAAAGAAATGAGAAAATTCTGTCAAGCTCATTTTCAGACGGTTTTTAGCTAGTCAAAACATTAAAAAAAAGCGCTTCGCGCCTGGCTGAACCTTCAAACATTATGGGAAGACCCATCCTCAATAGATTGGATTACCTTACCTTGTGCCTGTTGAAGATGAAAATGAAAAGGCGGACAACTTACGTTCGAAGACGCAGAGTCTTTATACCACTCCTTCTTTTTTTCATTTTTTGCAATGCAAATAGAGAAATAACTTGACCTGTATCTTGACTTTAGTCTCCCCAGTCAAACAAGATATTCTGGATGTTTAGAGCAGTCATGATCTGCTGAAGAATGTCTGCCGGAACAGAAAAAGAAGTAGCTAGCTGGTAATTCTATGGTGCTGCTCCTGATGAGGAGATATGCTGAGATGATGGAAATTCCATAAAAAGAAAGAGAGAAGCTTGATGAAGGTTGAAGCGGTATGCCTTCCTTTTTTTTCTTTGCTACGCACCTTGGTCTTTCTTATGGCTATGCTGGCCAATCTGGTTACCATAATAGAAAAAAAAAGATTCTAAACTTCGAGTTTTTCTGGACGGAAGGTTCTGCTCCGGAGAAACTCGTAGACTGCTCTTATCTTCCTCCTCTGATGCATCATCTCTCTAAACTACTCCTATGAAGAGAAGAAAAAGAAAGAAAACTAGCGCCTCTCCTGATACTCCGAGCGAATGCTGTGAATGAGTTTACGATCGAACAAATCAAGATCCGAGCGAGTAAGCCAAAGCCAATAAGACTCCATATTTCTTCTGCTTTCGTCAATACAACTCAATTGACTTGACCTTTTTACTACCTTGGACGAAAAAAACCTACCTACTCGAATGCCCGAACCGAGTTTCCGACGAAAGGCGCGGAGCGTTGATTGACCGTTCCAAAAAAGTGGAGGAGTGACTAGTTCATATTATGAAGTAGAGGGAATCAATTGCTGGTTGGAGATGCTTGCTTGTGTGCGTAGATACTCTTAGATTCTGTTGATCGTTCCATACTTTTAGAGCTCACCACCAAAGGCGCTAGAAAAAGCAAGGCGCGCAGCGAGAGCCTTCATCAAGTATCAAGTACATCTGTCTTCGCCCTCTCCCTAGTCGTTAGCTTGCTCTCCATCACCTTGGGTTCAGTTTGCCAAGAAGGCTGGTTTTCACATGAAGAGGCGGGAAAGGACATGACTTTGATTGTCTCGTATGTGGATGATGAAATCTTGATGGGGCAAGAATGACTTGTTGATCAAAGAGACCAAGCAGCAGCAATCGGTACACTACAGTAAAACAAACAAAGGCCAATTTAAACTAAACAGTTTTTGAAAAAGAGAGAACGATTAAAATTGTCTTCCTGATCTCTAGAATATAATTTACATATATTGCCTTTTCAAAGTTGCGTGGTGAAACCAGAATCAAACTCTATTGCCATTATTGGCTTTGTAGAACAATTGAGTTTGATTTATGATTAACATTTTTTTTTTAATTATATATTTAATGTCTCTTTCATGAAATTCAGTGTGTGAGCCGACTTGTACTTTTCTTATATATAATTAATGCCTTGTCCTATTATTAGTTAATAAATTATTTGGAAATTTTTCTTATCTTTAAATAAATTAAAATAAAGTCCAATTCGGCTCGACATCCAAGCTACCGGTCACCTTCACATATCTATTTTTATGAGAGCAATGGAAAGCTCAGTCGTTTGCATATGTAAAGAAAATGGAACATTGATTGATATCACACATATATCATACAAGGGACTGATGTTGCGGTAGAGTGGAGCAGAGCGAAAGAATTTGTCTAAATTGGGGGAGTTTCGTTATGTGGGTTGGGGGTACGGGGGATCTAAATCGGGGGAGTTTTCTTATGTGGGTTGGGGGTGCGGGGGCAACGCCCCGTGGTACAGTACAAGAATAATTTGGAAATTACATATTATATTTCAGGATTTACTCTAGGGTTATATATATATATATATATGTCATGTTTATAACATATGCTTATTTGTAACTCCTAACTCTAGGGAGTATCTCATATTCCGTACTTTTTTGCTTATTTGTAACTCTAGGGAGTATCTCATATTCCGTACTTTTTTTCTGAGATTGCAGGAAAGTCGCCGCTCTGCTCCCGAGGATGTATGCATCTTTGCCGAACCTCGTTAAATCTTTTTTTTCGCCCTAATTTCTCAACAAACATTAATGGCATTATATAGGTACACTACTGATATTAAATCGCAATTTGTTTTTTGATTGTAGGTTGAAAAAGCCCAGCAAAGGTTGGAGGCATGGGATGATAAGAAGAAACCTCTACTTGCGAACCAAAGCTGAAAAACTTGGCCCAAGGAGCAGCTTTGCAAGTTGGCGAATCATAATATCTCCGAGCAGGGCCCGTTACATGTTTCAGAGCTTTGTGATTGTATGCAGGTGAAGAAAATAAACAGATGGATGAGGAATTGGGATGAAGATTTCTTAAATTATAAGTTGAAAGAGGTCTTAGGGAGGGTAGTCTGATAGAATTTTATTTTTAGCATTTATTGAAGGTGTATTTAGCATTTTTATTTGCGCATGAATGAGGAAGACAGAAAGGTTGCATGATCCTGAGCATGAATGACCCTACATTATTGCTTATTCATCAATGTCTAATTCTAAAACCAACAACAACAAAAAAACCACCACCCTTTATCTCACTATGTGAGGTTGACTACATGAATCATTTTTCTTCATTGTGTCCTGTTATGTATTGTTGTGTGTCAAAAGATTGACGGCGGTAGAATGATATTTAATGTCTTAGTGTTGTACAAAGATATAATAAAGACAATGATAATAAAAAAAATTGAAGGAGAAGACGTCAGGATTATTTTTGTGAAAAAATCGAAAAAATCTCAAAATGAAAAAAAATCATGAGGTCTAGCCCAATCAAAGTAATTCATTATGTGATTCTAAATATATACATCCACTCTTTTCCTGAATTACAGAATATATAATTGCAAAAATGATAATCACAACTGTAGAATTGTAGTTCCACAATAATTGTCATAATTGGGCTACAACTCATACAATTTCTGGTTGTAATAGCAATAATTGGCTATAGAAGTCACAATTAGAAACGGTAACAATAATAGTTGGCCTCAAAAGCTATAATTAGTGGCTCGAATATTATTAATTGGCCATAGAGGTCGTAATTAGAAGTTGTAGTAGTAACTGACAACATAGGCCATGCTCAACAGCTGGAAGAGTGTCACTCGACCGCATAGATCATTGAGAGAAACTGCAGTAGAAACTGGCCACAAAAGGCGTAGTTGGTAGCTACAAGAGCATCAGTCAACCATATAGGCCATAGTGGAAACCTATCATAGTGACTGGCCACATAAGTCATAATTGGTAGATGCAAGAGCTTCAGTCGGCCATAGATGCTATAGTAAGAATATATAATAGAAATTGGTGACTTAGGCCATAATTGGTAGCTACAAGGGCATCAATCCATCACAGAGGTTGTAATGGGAAGCTATTGTAGTAACAAGTTACATTAGTTCTAGTTGATTGCTACAAATGCGTCAGACGACCACATCATAATATAACACTAGGTAATTCCTTAGGACAAAAATCTGGCAAAAGAACATTATTCATTCTGAAGTCAAATGCTGATTCATCCTCGTACTTTTTTTTGAGGTCTAATTTAGAGCATTGCTGTAATTGGAAAGATCGATGATTATGATGATTAGTTTCAGCTTGATGATGATCTATATTTATTTAAAGAGTAATTTATTTTCTATTTAATTTTATTTAGTGCTGTAAGTTTACTCTATTTCTGTTAGTATTTCTAAATAGTGATTGGTGTCTTAGTCCGACTGAAGTCTATGAATGATGATATATAAAATTCGTATACCTTGTAATTACTAAAAAATCTTATATCTGTAAACTAAATTTTCTCTATAAGGAAAAGAAGTTGTGAATTTAATTGAACTATTTTTCCTTTTAGTTTGTTGACATATTCCTTCTACGGTCTGCATTGCATGCTCCAGTACCTTTAGGTGGGGATTGACATTTCTATTTTTTATGTTTGATCTGTATCTAACTTGTATTTGGTTGATTTTTTCCCACTTCACTCGTTGATAAGTGGATAGAAATCTGCTTTTTAAAATCTCTCTATACTTTCAGGCTCTGTTTTTTAATTTTATCTAGGAACAAAAAATGTATTTCATTTTATAGTTAATAAATTATGTTTTACTTATATAAGCTCGTGTTTATTGGTTGCAGCATGACAATTTCTGGCTGGGTTTTCATGATTTCGGTCGGCTTTAACGCCGCTGCCAGGTTAGCATACATTAATCTTTCCTTATTTTTCCTTTTCTATTAATCATTTAATTTTTCTTTTGCTTTAAGTTTATAGACCATTTACATATTTAACACCAAGCCTTTTCATATTCACATACATATATATATATATATAACATCCAAAATTTTAATCTCACATCAAACTCACACTATCATTAAACTTCTTAAAAGTGAAACACAGCTTGTTCATTTATGTATATATAAATGTAAATATAGAATTTTATGTGGCATGTGTTTTACTTTCATGACAAGGACAAACAGTTTTTGATGCATCTATAAATCTGTTGCCTTGTAGTAAAATTTTCAATTCAACGGTGTTTAATTTTTCACACAATAGCCCTTACCAAAATCATGTCATTTACTTTAGTGTGCGTGTGAGCAATGAACTTGGAGCGGGAAATCCAAAATCTGCAGCATTTTCAGTATTAGTGGTGACAATAATGTCCTTCATCATATCACTCATTATTGTGGTAATCATCCTTTGCTGTCGCGACTATATTAGCTATATATTCACCGAAGGTGAAACGGTGGCTAAAGCCGTCTCTGATCTCTGCCCTTTACTTGCCATCACCATCGTCCTCAATGGCATCCAACCAGTTCTATCAGGTAAACACTTACTCTTCCCATGTGACTTATAACATGATTAAAATTTTAATCTTTATTGAATGTGTCTTTTGTTATGTGGTGTATTGTAGGTGTGGCTGGGGGGGGGGTTGGGTGTGGATGGCAAGCCTTTGTTGCCTACGTTAATGTTGGCTGCTATTATATTGTTGGCATACCTGCTGGTGTTGTTCTTGGTTTCGATTTTGGCTTTGGCCTTGGAGCAAAGGTACATGAATAAATATGAAATTTTGTAAGATAATGATGTCCTTAGAGATAATTCTATGTTGAGGTGCAAAAGCTTGCTTTTTATGTTTTTTAGGCTGCTAATCACTTGAAACCTGTTGACAAAAAATGCCAAATTTATGATGTTTTAAACTCTTAAATCATTGATGGAGTTTTGTGGACTAAATTACACCATATCATTCTAATGAAATTGTAGTGTGTATCAACATAGATACGTATGGAATTTTTTTTTTTATTTTTTTGGAAAAAAAGTAAATGATGACAAAATGATGTCTAAATAATAATTTGTGCAGGGAATTTGGTCAGGTATGATTAGCGGAACTTTCATGCAAACTCTCATTCTTCTTTGGGTCACTTTCCGAACCAATTGGAGTGAAGAGGTACTGCATTTTTTATTGTTCCATATAATGTTTTTCTTATCCTATATTCTTCAACATGCATCGGAAACAAATCTAAGGCCCTCTAAATATGGAAAAAAATATTACATCAGCACTTCTGATGCATTCGAAGTCTAATGCTGGGGCGTCACGTGTTAAGTGGGCTCCACCGTTTTAACACCGACCAATATCATTGATTACGGTGGGGCCCACTTGAAACGTCGCGTCCCACCATTAGACTCCAAACGCAAACTGAGTTAGGAGTCCTGATGTAGTATTCTCTCCTAAATATGATAGTAATTGCAATAGCTGCTTAAATAAAATAATATTTTTTTAAAATATTGTATCACTCTAAATATACGAATTTTTTAATACCACTCTAATACTTAATATTACTATTGCACTGCCATGATTAGTTGAAGTTGCCAAAGTTTATGTTTTATTAATGTTTTAAAATTGTATTTAAATTCATTTTGATTTAAAAAATTGAAATTTCCTCGTTACTGAGAAAGGTCAGTTGAATTTTCGGAGATCAAATAAGGATGCCATAAGCATAATTAGGTTGTCCTTTCTTATGCTTTCATGTACTATTATTTATTTTTGTATGGTGCCAACCGGTTCAATATGATCATTGAGTGCCCACCGAATTTTGGTTTTGAAAATTGAATGAAGATGAATTATCAATTAATATTAGTGTTATTTAACTCTATTATTAAAGATTGTGTCGTATAATGAAATTCACACGTATAGGTATTATCATTTTCTCTAGTAAAATTCAAAAAAAAAAGTTTTATTATAAAAAATTAAAAAACATAGGACTTATTAGCAAAAATCTAATGGGTGCTTGGTAGCCGAATTTGCAAAATTTTTTCTGTGCGGACTCCTGA